TTAAACGACGCCGTTTCGTCGAGTTTGCAAGAGTGTTTAGTTCCTGTCTTTGAAGCCTTGGAAGATTTTTGTTTTCGTAATTTTAAGGCATACCAGAACATTAGAATCGTTTCGACAGAAACTCTATTATTGTGTCAATCATAGAAATAAATATGTAAAAAAAAAAAAAAGAATTTCATGTTTTTTTGATTCATCAGATTCCGTAAATAATACAATTGAATACGCATAAGTTTATGTTTATCTCAATATTAGTTTCATTATCCGTTAGATGTTCGTGTAAGTTGTTCATATTTTGAAGAAGCTGGTTAGTCTTCGCATCATCTAAGGAACGCCGGTTATTTCCGGTTTATAAGAGATTTGTTGGTGTGTGCATAAACATATTATCTATGAATTCATGGATATGAGACCGATGTATATTACAAGTTGGTGTTATTGTAAAACGTTAATATGTAAAGTAAATGTTTCGATTTTTTTTTTTTAAACTAATATGTTCGCTAATGATCTGATAAAAAAAATATTATTTTGATATGAATTCTCGTGGCTAGAACTTAGAAATAAAATATTCATCAATTAACTAAAAAATTGATGAATTGACCGAGTCAATAATCAAAGCTTCAGTGTTCTTTCTACGAACCCGCTTCATTTTTGCGGTTGTGGCTCATTCATGCATTCATTTTTTTTCTTTATTTTAAAGAGAGAGAAAAAAAACCATTATTGGACTGAGATGTTGAGTAAATTAAGGATAATAATGGTAGTAGTTATCCAATAATTCAGAGATTTGGTTGAGTTATTATGGAGATCCTACAACAAAACGGCAAGCAATAGAACGAGCAGACCAAATGGAATATTCTGTCTACCACATCTTAGTTTCAATCAAGATGTTAACAGGTTAATGTCTTCTAATAAGCGACCAAAATCTGGCTTAATAATTTATTTATCGCACCCAAGATATTTTAGAAATATATACTTCTCCATTAGAAATGTCACTATGAATTTGTGGATGCTTTAATTGGTAACATTATGCAGAAATGGTGAATAGGTCACTAAAACAATTCACATCACTTTCCAAGTTTTTTTATTGTATTTTTCATGTCGAGATATGCAAACCAATCCACGAATTGTTTTTGGAATTGCGACGTTATAATTAAAAGTCTATGTTTTGATGTTTAGATGAGCTCGTTTTTAAATCTTATGTTTTATTATTCGCTGTATGAAAGCGATAATGACAATGTTAATGGCATTGTCTACTAGTAATAAGCTTGACCAAAGTTTCGATTTCCGTTAATGACCCTTTAACCACAAAATTTAACGATGATATCAAAACTAAATCCAAAACCGACCAAATCTGGCGTATTTTCATTTTTCAGTGTGATTCAAACTAGAATAAACTCAAAAATAGATTTAAAAACTTTCCTTAATAAATGCCACTTGCCTAAGAAACTCACAGAAACTTCACATTCAAATCTACTTTTTCTTTGACTG